GTAATTTTGATCCAATTGGTACAGATCCATATACTTCAATACCTTATTCAATTGTTGATAGTTTAGAACATAAATTATTAACAAAACAAATTGTTACTGAATCAATTGTTTTATTACAAAATCCAAAACAAATATTACCATTTGATATAACAAAAATAAAACAAATTGCAGTTATTGGTCCATCATCAAATGATATAACTGTTCAAGCACATACATATCATGGAACACCAAGTAAATGGATAACAACATTAGATGGTATACAAACAATTGCATTAAAATATAATGTAAATGTTGTTTATACATGGGGTGCATCTCGAAGAAATACTAGTGATGAAGATTTTGTACATGCTATAAAATTATCAAATGAAAGTGATATAATTTTATTTGTTGGTGGTTTAGATGAAAGTTTTGAAGAAGAAGATACTGATCGTAATACATTACAATTATCTGGTGGACAATTAGAATTAATTAAATTAATAATGAAATTAAATAAACCATTTGCTATATTAATTATATCTGGTTCACCTATATCAGAACCATGGATTGTTAATAAAAATCAAGCAGCATTATTATGGATATCATATTTTGGACAAAGTGGTGATGCAATTGCTGATATATTATTTGGTTTATCTATTCCAAGTGGTTGTTTACCATTTACAATACCAATAAATACAAGTCAAATGTTACCAATAGATGATTATTCTATGAATAAATCACCAGGTAGAACATATCGTTATTTAGATTATGATAAAGCACCACCATTATTTCCATTTGGTTATGGTTTATCATATTCAAAATTTATATTTAATTCAAAATTAATAATTTTTCCTAATCTAATAAATAATCTTGATACTGATATTACAGCTAATATAAGTATCATGAATGAAGGTCCATTTCGTGCACAATATGTTATACAATTATATTATGAATTTCCAAATTCAACTGTAGTTGAATTACCAATACGTGAATTATTACAATTTACTAAAATAACATTTGAAAAAAATGAACAAAAAACTATTTCATTTATATTTCGTGTTAGAAATATTCCAAATTCAAATCGACAACAATTACCAGGTATTATTAACTTTTGGATTGGTAATAGTCGTGATAGATATGTACAAACAACACTTGTTATTGATTTTGCGTCATAATTTATTTAAAAAAAAAAATATAACTAATAGTCTAATGAATTATTTTTTTGTCATATTTGTTTTTTTTTTTTTGCTAATATTAGATATCTTTAAAGATAAATGACAGAAAAAAAGTTTTTAGTCATTGAATAGTAGTCATCCAGTTATTTATAGAATGAAGTATACGTTAATTGTAATTCTAGATGAAAAAAATTTAAAAATAAAAAAATAAAAAACATTGTCATGCTGGAAGATTTTATGGTGGTTTATTAGGTAATACACATCAATATAATATATAACTTCAATTTTGACTATATAATGTTGATCTACGAGTGCGCTGCCCTTGCATCTCTTTTCTCTGCTGGTGGCCCGCTGAACAATAGCAAAGACACATTTATGTATAAAAACAAATAGGAGAAGAAGAGAAGGGAAGAAAATGACGCATTAAGTTGCACAATCTACGCGTCATTTTCTTTCTTTTTTTTTCTTCTTCGATTTTGTTGTTGCACTTTTTTTTTCTGTCCTTCACTTCTGACGATGACTTTGAATAAGAATCGAAAGCTCGAGCTGCAGTCCAAATGAAACTTAAATATGCATTTGGTAGCAATGTTATCCTTTTTAGTCAAAAACGCAAATACGTTTATATATTTATGTGGAAAAAGGTAAATGACTAAACGTTGGGACTCTGAATGGGACAAGACTATCTCCCCGTGTGTACACTATCTTTTAATCAAAATCATACATTTAATTAAGAAAAAGTACAATATATATATACACGAATATATTCTTTGCAATTTTCTTTTTCTAATGAATTCTTTTATCAAATCTATGACGACGGAATCTCACAGAATGAAATGAGACCACCTTTAGAAAATCATCTCGAGAGATGAATTTCTGTCTTCCATCCGGTCCTGTTTGGAGCTCTGTTAGATACATCTTGCAAGTGAAAAGAAATCACCTTTCTCTACTTATTCTACTCAAGTTTTACTCTGTCAACTGAAGGTGATATTTCTTTCTTCTATCAAAAAGTTCTGTTAATTTGTAATGTGATTTTATTGATAGCTTGACTTCAAATTAGTTTTTGAGAGGCTTTTGTTGTGATTGAAATTCTTTACAGCTATCTGTCATCTCGTCAATATATATATCTTTTAGATTTAATTTCTCTATCTTCACAATATCATGTCGATCTTACTTAAACAAAAATCTTCATCCTATGTTCGTGGTTTTAAAGTACCAAGAAAATTGGATATTGACAATGCTTTAGGAAAACTTGATGATAATACTATAAAATCTATTTTTACTGAAGAGTTTTGTGAAACATTTGATAGTCTACCTTTACCAAAGAAAGAATCTGATTGGCTTGCACAGAATGCAGAAAAAGGACAAACTTATATGGAATTTCTTCAGTTATCTCGAACTCTTCATACGAAATCATCTTCCCATAGAAGAACAATTTATCTAACGGTGTTTGGACAAATTGACAATACAATATTTGATATTGATAGTTTAATCGATTATACTCAACGTTTTTTTCAAATGCAAGTAAAATTAATTAATCCATTCATTGATGTTCAATGGAATGATAAGAACAATCAATGGACATGTAAGTTCTCATGATTCAAAGTTTTTTTTCATTGTATTTTCTTATCTAATTTTAAAACTAGGTACAATGACTTTAAATAATGGTAAAAGTCGTAGTTTCAATCTTCGTACACGTTACAATGAAAAAACAAAACATTCACAAATTTGTGTTACAGGAATTTTAAATCTATTAAAAAAAATTGTACCAGAAGATGCTCGATGTCTCATTGCACTAACAATGTTTGATCTCTATGGTGATGATACAGATTTATTTATTGCTGGTTTAGCTATGGGCAATTGTCGTGTGGCAGCATTTTCACTCTATCGATATGATCCATATTTAACATTTAATGAATCCGATTGGTTTGATTGTAAATTGAAAATTGCTACTAAATCAAAGAATCAAATTGTTAAACGACGAAATTTATTATTACTCAGAACTTGTCGTCTTTTGACACATGAAATATGTCATCTGTTTGGAATTCCTCATTGTATTTTCTATTCTTGTCTAGTCAATGGAAGTGGAGATCTCGGTAAGAGTTCATTTTAGGCCACTGATTTCTTTTTTTTTGTGTCAAAGTTATAGAAAAACGACGCTCATTTATTTCATAACCTATTGAGTTCATTTCTGATGTTTTTCAAGGTCAAACATCTTGACTTTGGGGATTCGAAGTCAGAAACTCACTATATGGCTATAGGAACGTTTTTTGAGTGTGGGTTTTGAAAGATCATCCATAGCATCTCTGAAAAGTCTATTCATTAGGAACAAAACTAGATGCAAATCACTTTTCCAATGTACCTTTAACTTCATATTTGAGACATATACAAAGATGTACATTGCTTTTCTATAAATATAGAAGTATGCAGATCTTGGAAATAGGAAAAAGATATGCCTAAGTAACGTATAGAATTCGTCCAGTATTTTGCACTATTCTCCTCATCCACAAGTGTTTCAAAAAAAAAGTAACAACATATTCGGAGTTAGCATCGAATTCTGAGTCAAATGACTTATGAACATTACGGTAACTAGGAAAATAGTTTTTCTCAAGATACGAAAAGTATTAAACATGTCAAAGTATCGACAAAATGGAAAATGTCTGTTTTAAACTATTAGATATTCCACGATTTTTTTGCTCTAAACTAATACTAAGATAATGAATTTCTCCAATATTTATATATGGTTGTAATCTCTTATAACAGACACTTTTTCTTAGTATTTTTGTCGACCTGCATACCACCATCTCTATAGGAAAACAGTGTACATCTTTGTATACGTCTCAAATATGTAATGAGAAAAGTCTTTCCAAATATGAAGTTAGAGCTATACTGAAAAGTTGTTTCTATCTATTTGTGTTCCCAATTAATAGTTCTTTCAAAAAATACTATAAATGAGTTTTCAAAACCCACACTCAAAAAAGTTACTCTTTATATATTGAGTTTTCGATTTTTTCACTTTGAACTCGGAGAAACAAGATGTTAAACTTTGAAAAATGTTCACTCAAAATGAACTCTTATCCTGATCTGTTGTTGTTATTATCTCTACATTTATAGACGAAGATTTTGGTCAACCGCTACTTGAATGTCCAATTGATTTGCGAAAACTTTATTCATTAATCAATTTCAATATTCATACAAGATATGAACAATTACTGGAATTTTTTAAGATGCATAATTTTCTTGATGAAATGAAAATGGTTGAGACAAAACTCAATGTTATAAAACATTTGATGAAGTCCGATTCTTCGGAATTTAATAGTAGTGGGAATTTGAGTAATTCTTTTACATCGACGAAAATTGCAAAAAGAAAACGTACTCATAACATTACTACGAAACAAGATGTTCTTACGGCCACAGTAGCAGTAGCAGAAGACGAAGAACAATCACAAACACCAGCGAAACATTTAAAGCGCCAATAACTCTGAAGTTTATTGATTGTTCTCGTATATTGATGGTTTTATGCCAGATAAACATGAAAAACTTTGTTTTGTTTTCGTTTCTTCTTGATTTTTCATATTTATTTTAGTCTGAATAAAAGATTTTCCACTGATTTCTGTCATATATGACTCAAAATTTGTCTAAACGCTTTTCATTCATTACTGATATTTGACCTTCTTCCGCATGTCTTTTTCTGATATTTATTTTATTTGGAATAAATGATCATACCAATGGTAGAAACTGTTGGTATTCAAACTAGTGTGTTTCATCCACTCCATAAGAAAATCTCTTTAAAAGCTGAAATTATATTTTTTTTCTCAAAACATTGCCTGATAAAGAAATTTACTATTCAACTCAACATTTCAAAACAACACCGATCTTTGTTTTGTATTAAAGCGTCTATTACAAAACAGTAAAGTCACATACGCGATCTTGTGGAAAAAAGTTCTTGGCATATATTAAATCATACAGTTAGACTTACGAGATACTAATGAAAATGATGACTGCTAGTTTATTCTCACCTTGATAATAGAGTTTAAGTCATTTTGTGTTGATACAACAAATGTAATATTTATTCATGTGTACTGATGCAATTTTCATAATACATTTCTATCATTCATATTAAGTCACTTTGACAATAATTGATTATATTCAAAAATATTATTAACCAAGCTCGATGACGTTCACTAGAAATAATTCATAAAGTTCGTCATTCATAATTTCACGTCATGTTTCGTCTTCATGGACCTAGCTGTGTTCATCAACTATTAGGAGTTATTAAGATATATTTCTTTCAGTTTATTTATCAACTGTATCTGTTATTTCTACACTTTTCTAAACCAAATTTACAAGAAGTCGACGACAAAATGTACATCGTCATAAAATCATACAAAACAAGAACATTTACAATGAGGTATATTCAGGTACATATTCTTTTTGTGTGTCATTCATTAGGAAGAGCTTTATCTGATGTATAACTAACGCACATTGGTCAAATTTTCGATTTTCTATTAATACATGTAAATGAAGGACATTGTCGTTCTTGTATTTGACAATGATATGCACCAGCTGATGACAAATCAAAATAACGAATAACAATTGCTCACAAGGTTTCGAAGCACGTCGAGATCCAATTGAAAATACTGTTGTATTGGCTAAAATAATACAAAATAACTCAACAAATTAAAATATTATTTTCTTTTTTCACTCACTCATTTTATTGACTGATCTGCCAATTTCAAATGTTACTTCACCATCTGACAGATCTAATTATTGGATACGTTTGCTAAATCCAGTGCAAAAGACATGTTCTGAATTGTTGTCAAATTCTCACACTATTTGGTCTACGCTGTATCGGTAACAAACGTTATGTGATACTAAAATGATGAGTAAAGGTACAAAGGATGATACTTATTTTCAGTTTCATAGTTCATCTTCGTCTATCTAGGGTTAGTTAAATTGTATAAATAACAAATCAAGTAAAGTGTAAAGATATAAGAAAAACTATCCATATACTAGAAATGTCATGAGAGATTACGCATTGATCGATTAATATAAGCTGAACAATATAATTCACTTGTATGTGATATCGAATACAGAATCTCATCGATTGAAAATTTTCTAATAAAACCAGGGAAAGAAAAAAGTGGTTTCTTATAAATTCAGTGAAGGATGTGGGTGTGATTATGACTCTTCAGATCTGCCACACTCACAAACAGTATCAGAAGGCTCCTTCATAATAAACGATCCCTCAAAGGAGTGATGTCCTGGACAAACTAACAGCTCTCCTCTTAATTATTTAATTAATTCAGAAATTGTGGCTTTAATTCATATTAGAGGCAATATATATAGTTTCTAGAAATCTCAGCTTCAAGTTGACTGAGACGAAATCTAAAACAAAATAAAACATCTTCTTTTAAAATTTTCTATCCATTTTAAAGCAAAACAATTAATTGAATCAAAATAATCGCTTGTTTAAAAAAGGTCTGTTTTTTAACGTTGAATGTTTTGATTTAAGTGTTTCCTCATCGTTTAAGCCTATAGGTAACAGTCAGATTATTGATAGAGAACTATTCGTATATTTACATGACAGATCTACCATAATGATTAAAAAAAAGTGATGTTGTCGATTTTTCTCAAGTATTTGATTATATTAATTTTTTGATTAAACTTTTTTTTTTACAAATTATAGAACACCAAAAAGTCCAGTATTTACTCTGAATTTTTTAATCGAAAAATCTTGATTTCAGCTGTTTTCTTCTTGACCTAAAATGATTCCTTCATATTTTAACGCATAAAAAACCTTTCAAGTCTTGAAACTGTCGAGATTTCTAAGAACGCTTTGTAATTATTAATTGATCATCACATAAATACTATTTTCTTTACAGAATGTAGTTGCTTGTTTACAGTTTGTGTTTCTTCGTCTATGAAAGACAAAAACATATATGAATACTTCATCGTTACTGATCACACATTTTTTAATCATTTTTCTTGTTTTACATATAGAAATAATAATCTAAGCTCACTCAATTGGCTAAGCACCGAGACGAACAGAACCGTACTCATCTCTCGCCAACAACGTATGTTAGATATTGATTAATTGTACACTACGATTAAGGCATTTTTGGCGACTAACGAAACTTTTTGCGCAGTTTACGTATTGTGCCATTTAAACTCTGTTTTGGTGGTTGCGTGATCTACCAAGATGATATCTACGCATGTGGTTTCGTCAACAGAGAATACAGTTTGATAAAAATAAATCTTTTTTATAAAATAAAAAGAAGCCTGCAGTCTAATAGTGCAGTATATTGAAACGCCGGAATAGAAAGAAAAATGAGAGAAAGAGATGCACTTTTTATGACCCTACTGTAAAAATGAAAAAAAAAGAGATAGTGAGTTATTCACTGTGTTGTCGGTGCATAAAAAAGCGCAAAAAGCATGTTTTTACTTACTAGTACTCTCGCCACTGTGCTATCGTTTTATTTATTGCATATCTATGGCACGTTCGAAAAGCTTACGATTTCTTCATTCGAATCGGCATTCCAGGACCACCGCCAACGTTTTTCTTTGGCAATCTTTTCGAAATCATTAAAGTTAGAAGACTATCGATTGCGATCCATCAATGGACTGACAAGTATGGTCACATCTTTGGTTATTTCGAAGGACATACACCTGTTCTTGTAATATCGGATTCAGACGTTCTTCAAGATGTATTCGTTAAATCATTTTCAAAGTTTCATTCCCGTCGTGAATCTCCTTTCACGAGTCAACAAGCAAAGGATATTAATCTGTTCAATGCCGTCGGTCTTCGCTGGAAATGGCAACGCTTTGTTCTCAATCCGACATTTTCCTCGCTAAAACTCAAACAAATGTCACCGTTGATTCATCGTAGTATCGAAACGCTAATGAAAAAATGGCGGATCAGTATGCCAGAGGTGAACCATTTGATATCTATGCATATTTCAAACGATTCACAATGGATACTATTTGATCTTGTGGTTTTGGTTTCGACACTGACATGCAAAATAATGTCAATGATCCATATCTCCTCAATTCGCAAAAGATGTTTTCACCGGACAAAATTCGTGAAATAATATTCATTTTGGCTCTTTTGATAAAAGAATTGAGCAAAGTGTGGAGAAGTGTATTTCAATCACTCGATATTATCCGCTATTGGCTTCGGCACTATATTCCCGTGGCAAAGCGACTCACTGACGAAAGTCCTGGTACATGGATTCTGAAACAAGCCAACGAAATGAGTGAAAAACGTAAACATATTGGTCATACTCATCGAACAGATTTATTACAGCTAATGCTCGAGTCTATGTCAGATGAAGATTTCATTCAAGTAAGATTCTTTCTGGGGTTGAGAAAACAATAAAGTCATCTTATTTTACATGAATGAAGCTATTTTCAAGGTTTTTGTGCAACTCGTATTTCTGTTCTAACAGAATTGTTCAACATCATTCGAGAAAGGTGATGACGTTGAAGTCGAAGCATCACTAGTTCGAAAAATTATCAAACATGAGATCTCGGCCAACATCCTTCTTTTTAGTGAGTAAACCAATCTATTATACACTTATTGTAGTTCAATTTTTCTTTTTGCATTATAGTGGTTGCTGGCTATGAGACCACAAGTACAGCTCTTACATATGTGATGTATGTTCTTGCTACTCATCCAGAAGAACAGCGAAAGTTGCAAGAGCACATTGATGCTCATTTCAGTCCAGAAACAGAACACACTATGCCAACATATGAAACCATCTTCACAATGGACTATTTAGATATGTTTATTCGAGAGACCCTTCGAATGTTTCCTATTGCACCAATGGCGATTAGTCGTCAAAGTACCGATAGTTTTTGCCTCAAAGACTTTGGTGCCGTACCGAGAGGTACACTGATTACCGTCGATATGTATAATTTGCATTACAATCCAAATTTATGGGGTCCCGTGGATCCACATGAGTTTCATCCCGAAAGATTCGCCACTAAACGACATCCAATGGCATGGATTCCGTTTGGAGCTGGACCGCGTAATTGTGTGGGCATGCGTTTTGCTCTGCTAGAAATGCAAATGTTACTTATTCGACTGTTGAAAGCCTACACACTAATCGACTGTGGGGAGAAAGCACGCAAACCATTCCAACAACTCGAAGAAATGCCTGTCATTACACCTAAAGAAGCCATTGTCCAACTCCAACGCAGAGATGAACAGCATTAGTGACAAACTTTTTCGTAGTGTTTATATTTAGTTTTCTTCCTTTTTCTCTATATTCTTGCTATTATTATATTCTCATTTTACTTTCATGCTATCGCTTCCCTTTTGCAGAATCAGAACAAGCCTCGTATATTAACTTGTCATCAATTTCAAGTTGATGTTGTCTGACAGTAAAAGTATGTTTGTATGAGACAATTATATATCATTAACTGTCTTCAATGACATTGGTTCAATGTAAAAAATGAAACGTAAGTTTTTGTTTAGAAAAATATGTAATTTAACAGTACTCAAAATCAGTTAATGAGCGCCATTGATAGTTTCTGACGCAAATAAACCATCGAGTTGATTTTTGCGGTAACAACGGTCTATCTTGAAGGTGTAGAGTGAGACAAGTTATCACAACAAACACATGGATGTTTTAGATTTACGAATTTTATCAAGTGGCTAGTATGTATATAAATGGTCCACAAAATAAAACAATACTTAGTACACAATCTACTATGTAAACTATTTAGACCTCGCCGTTATCGGATGAGTATAGATACCACAACACATATATATCTGTTTCACTCATGCTGTGAAGGTTTAGGAAGTCAAGCAGATCGATCGAGACTGGACTTGGATGTGAGTATGTGCTTGTGGGTGTTGGTGTGAATGTATGATGTAGACAATTTCTTCATCCACTTCCACATCCTAGTCAGTTTATGTGAGAGAAGAGTCTACAACTTTCTTTAGATCCTAAAATCATGATATAAATAAAAATCATTTTTTGCTTCGACGTTATATTTGTGATATTTCCGATAATGATATTCGTACTCAGCGTGCTACGATTTGATAATTCTAGTTACCCATAATTCGGTTATTTCATTAGAGCAGACAAAATATTGTAATCAGAACAGATATATTTTTCAAAATATAAAAGAAAACAAATAAGTCTGAATATCAATTTCGTTCTGTTATTTCTCGTGATCATTCGATAGCGTTGACGTGGGTGTAGTTGTGGGGTGTTCATGTGGATATGAGCGTGTATGACTCTACTCTTCAATATAGCCTTCACCCACACCTACACCCAGTTTGAGAAGTAGAAGAACTAGTCAAGACTAATTTTCCTATGCATGGCAGTCGATTTGATTAATCCATTAGAATATTTTATTCAAACCGCTAAACTGTCAAAAAAACTATATAAAATTGCTCATCGTTGACTATTGAACTATGTTCTCATATCTCTTATTATAATCGCTGTTTCTAACAATATGTTCTATTCTTTTATCATGTTAGATACCATTGAATGGAAGGAGCGACTCTAAAAAGCAAAAAAATCGTCGACAGTGTAGGAAAATCAATTAATGAGGCATTATTTTTTGATGAAACGTGACCAAACCCAAAAATTTAACATTAAATCAGCATAAAAGATATATTAATTGATATTTTTTTCACTCGCTTTTCCATACCATGCTGATTTTGTGTTTGAATATATAGGCTAGAAATGCATTAGAAAATTTTAACATGAATGATTTTTAATTGAATTTTATTTGTAAGTTAATTGGAGTGATTTTGATTTTCTTTTGTTGCTGTGAGAAAGCAACGAACAAGGTTGTGGATGTGGATGTAAGTGATAGTGTAGTGGATATGTGGGTGTGACTATGTCTGCCTACATCTCAGCCATACGCATAGTCACATTCACATCGTCTCGGTCTGAGTGAAGAGGTGACGGACATCCACACCCACACGAACATCCCACTCACCTAGACCCACATTCTACTCTAGCCTTTCCAGAAAATGAAAATAAAAGAAAATGAAACTATGTAATTAAAAAAACTCTAATCGGTCGTTCGATAGAGCATATTTAGTTAGGTCAAGTACAATAAAACTACGATTCGCATGATTCAGGCAGTTTCTCATCAACATCATTTGGTTGGTTCTTATTTTTGTCGTCATCATGTGTCATATTGTCACTTAATGCTGCCATTGTTTTTTTGATCAGTTCATTTATTTCCTTCATCTGTTCAGTCTCTTTGACTTCGAAAAATTCAATTCGGGGGTTCTTTTGTCTGTATTGTATCATTTTATCGTATTGATGCCAGAGTTTTTTAGCCCATTGAAAACGTTCCAATGCTAAACGATGATTATTGTTTCCATGAAATCGTTTTCCTTGTTCGATGAAATAGAGAGCAATATCCTTTACCAAATGTTCTAACAATTCTGAATCGAAATTGAACATTTTTACATAGTCAATCTAATCGAATCCCCAATCAACCTGTAACGCTATGTTATGACAAAAAACGTAGATTGAGCTGTAAGGTTCTTTGGTGACTGGATCAGTAAATACATGAGAATATTTTTCCATGATTTTAGGTACAATGTCTTTTCCCATACTGCCAGAAGTAATAAAAAAGATCCGCTTTTCTTCATGCTTGTCAAATGCTCGAAGACAGTCTTCTTCGTTGTCGAATGCTTGTAAGAGAAAGTCTATTCCATCGAACTGAACTGAGAGAGGACTTCCTATACGCATAAGATTGTGATAATCTTGATCAGTAAGCATAGTCCAAGCTTGACGATGTGGATCAGTATTACTGGCAAAAGCCTTTTTCAAATGAATATATTCTCCAGAAACTCCGATTGATTGATCAAGCCAGAGGATTAAATGGTTAGTTGGAGGATAATCGTGATCTCCTTGTATATTTATAAGATTAGCAGTCATAACTATCTGGAACGAGATAAGACATTGACATAAAAATGTCACATAAAAAAATGAACGATTCATTTTTACGTAATTAGTTAGCAGAGAATAGGCAAATCTAGAATGATTAACTGGTGAATGAGTTGTTCTACTAGAAATCTTAATTTTCTCTCCGCCAGAGTATTGTTTGATTGATTGTGAGTGTAGGGGTGAGTATCGAGAGGAATGAATTAAACAACCACACTCGCACCCACACTCAAAACTGGTTATAGTTCACCGAAATTCTACATGTGAAACTATTTTTTGATCCATAGATGATGTTTATAATAAAATTAGACATTGTCTAAATCACGAATTGATCGACTGGCAAATATTTGAATTAAAACTTCATTCGGCAACCATCTGAAATAACACTCTGCTAGAGCCTCTTGGTATTCAATAAAAGGCTAAACATGTTCCCAGATCACAATTGGAGGCATATACTCTTCTTCAGTTGGTTCTTCGTCTATTTGATGCGTTGAATGTGGACAGAGTTTTTGCATTGTAACTCAAGGAAGCGACATAAGAAAAAGGTTTATATCTATGTATAATGAAGAACGACAAAACTGTTTTCGTAGATTGTGTTGAAACCGCGTGCATGACTATTGACACAAAAAACACACAGACGGTAAAATCGTTCTGTGTTTACATCAGTCGCACATAGCAACAGGCATTACACAATACTGAAATAATTTTACAATTATTCGGCAAAAAGCAATTGAAACTGTCAGCAATCGTTTCTCTCTTTTGTATATACGTGCTTACACATCTGTGTGAAATTACGTCAACACGATCAGTCACCACGCGAATAAAAATCTACAATTCGTCGAAATCGAAAACAATCAGAAGGTGACGAAGAAAAGAACACCGTTATGAGGGCCAAACTATGGGCACGGTACTTCCTTGTCATACGGTCCTAAAAATAAATATATTAACAAAACCAGTTAATACAATATATTTCGTAACAGTTCAGTTTCATCATGAAAGATCTCATTTAATATTATCTCAACTTTATGGCATTATAAAATTGTTTCTTAATCAATTGTTCTGATATGTTTTCACTTTAATTTACTTTTCTAGCGTAAGAAGTAATTTAACTATGAACTAAAATGATGTGCCCTTTCTGGGCAAATATAAGTGTACAGTTCATTCACCATAATAAATGCAGACAACTTTAGGGTACCGTAAATTGTTCAATTATCAAACAAAACTCTAATATTTATATCACTCCTGTACATAGGTATCTGATATTATTGAATGATGCAGAAGAAATGGGTTATTCTTTATACGAAATTGTTTTTACGTATAGCTTTAATAACTTTTCTTGTCTTAATGCCAAAAGATATGTCGTGAAATTCTCTATGGAATCGTATTGAATGTTTTATTACAAAATTTAAAATGAAAGGTTGTACAAAACATATTTAAAAAAAATCAAAAGACGTCAACTTTCTCAACTACTTTTTTGTATACTTAAACTGTATATAAAAGCTCAAAAATCATCAGGATATATGCAAATAAGATCTCTGATTTTATCAAATCCGCTCTTTTGTCTGATGTCTTATAGAATTCGTCAGAGTCTAATGTTACAATACAAATGATAACTCTTTTTAAAATGAACTAAATGATTCGCAAAATTTTATCAATTCAACCCGTCTACTTTCGGACATATGAAAACGTAGATGTCAATTCAAAAGTATTTCTTATCTCTAACCGACGCACCTCAAAAGTCACTAGTATCAGGTGTGTTGTCAGAGTTCTATCACCAATCATGATTGTCTCTTTCTGAAGTGCAAAAGATTAAAGCAGAGATTTATACTTGCCAAATTTTTATTAGAGAATAGAATTTGTGTTTTTCTTTGAATGAAGCTATGGGAAAAAGAAAGGTACGAGAACAAGAGAAGCTATATATGTAATCTAATTACATATATACAAACAGTGTTTTGATGTCTTGAGAAATTTTTATTCAATGTAACTTATCTATTGTTAAACAAATTATACCAAAACTGCCTGCCCTTATCAACGTAACACTACACTACTATTCATTTCAGAAAAACATCAACGCACATTGTAAAATACAGTTGACACTTTCATCAACAGAGGTCTTTATCAAACTTATATAATCGATATGAAAATGCACGTACACTATTCATCAAAATCTTAATATCAACCACTATTTGATCTTACAAAACAAGCCACTTTTCTTTCAGACTTTGAGGCAACAAAATAAAGTTCATGCTTTAGTAACATCGTATACTTCGACACCGAGTCGCATATATATTAGACA